ATTTTTGAGAAATTATCTCTCAAGATTAGTTGATCCCAGAAATTTGGATCGTACATCGGATGGGCAAATAAAAAAGCTACAAAACCAGCCTAAAACAAAAAGTTTTTAATCCGTAAAAAAAAAATTTTTTTTTGGGAGTATGGGGTTTCTCGATCCTGTGGTGGACTCTCTCTTAAGTATCCTTATTCAACGTTCCGGTTCCCCGTTGTACTGGACTATATATTAATTAATTGATGACTACTTCGTAGATCATCAGTTAAAAAGCTAAGCATTTTGACGTTTTTTAAGAACAATCATTGTCAATTTCAGACTAATGGCAAAATTAAAGAAAAATCACAACTGACCATTCGATAGGCTTTTGACATATCGATTGCAGAATTAAGTTAAAGTATCATATATGTCAAACATAAATACTTATGCTAATATCATTGAAATAAAAGCAAAAGACATTTCAAAATCGCTCTCTTCTTTCACGCTGCCGCAATTAGAGCCAAATATCGAGTTTATTAGTGCGCAAGGCTTATTTCTCCTAGACTATTTAAAAGTATCCTTCAAATATGTTTATTTTCCTCGAATTATCAGAACTTGAACTAGTTTCGAGTGATTGCAATGTATCAACAGAATTCATTCATACAAAGTCCATTCAATGATAATAAACCATCTTCAATAACTTCACGTAATTGAATATGATTGATATCACTTCAATAAAGAACAGCCTTAGCTGATAGAATACCATTTATTCGATGATATTTTTGAAGTACATCTTTTTATATTTACATTGAAACTACCACAAAACAAAAGATGGAAGAAAATAATATTTTATTTATTATAGATGTTTTTCTCATTATGAAATAGTTCATGTCTGTAGAATTTTATTGCTCAATAACAAATGAATAGTAGGGTCGTCTACATGTAGAATTTATCGATGCAATAAAATCAATTATTCATAATACATATGATTAAGAATCATAATGAACAGACAGTATTCCAACACGTAATTTAACATTAACTTAAATACAAACTTTTGTTGTCATTGACAATTATTGATTTTATTTTTGCAATAGATAATGTTTTTTTTACATGTAACAGATATTGAATGTTATTTCTATGATCTTTTGAAATTCATGAAACATAAACACGCATTTTGAAAACTCTTGAGTTGTTGAACTTCACTGTTTCTTTGTTATTCAGAACAGATCATGTTGCAATCTGTGTTCTTTTGTCTTGCTTCTTTATTTGATACATTTCATAATGCATGTGCAACATTTAACCCTGATTATACCGCTAAGCGGTCTAGCGGAAACTTGTACTTGTTTCGGACATCTCTCTTGAATTATACTCTGATTCATATGATTTATAGAGTAATTTACTGTAAACTTGAGTTAAATGAAACTAGAAGAAAGGTATTATGATTCTTACATCTTACGGCTTCTCTTTTTACTGATAAATCCGCGACGTGATGGCAGTTTACCCAAGAGAACAGTGATCATGTTCGAAAAACGGTTTGTATAGACCATTCGAACTATATAGTATAACGTTTGTGTTTTTGTTTCTGATGTAAAAAAAATGAAAAAGAAATTTCGCTACGGGAAGAGTAACCACTGTTTTGTCAATCTCCTAAATGAAGTGGTGCATATCCTGATCAAACTCTAATTGAAAATGATAAAATCAACGAAATCGAAAGAGAAGCAATATTTATTCATATTTGAAGTTTTTGTCTAAATAAAAAAAAAACGAAAGAAAGGTGAAAGATAAGGCGTAAACACGCGCCAATGAAATATATGAGAAAAATAACACTTGTTTCTGCATCCTCGTTTTTTTTTTTTGTGGATTTCTCTTTTAATTGAAGTATAAATTTTAATGAACAGCAGGAGCATTTGTTGTTGTTTCAGTATTAACATTGATAGGTGCATTAATTTTTCTTTCAATATCAGCACAATATTTTTCTGGTACACCAGCACGACTAGAAAATAAAAATTTATTTAAAAAAAAAAAATAATTTTTTTTCAAAAAAATAATCGCAATATTTTATCGAGCTCAATACTTCTTATATTAAATAAAAGTTAAACGATTTTGTAAATATTGAATATATTTACAAGGTAAACCTAAATCTCTGAAAGATGAATTTTTTAAATAAATTCTTATTCTATAAAAAAATCTATAAGAAAATAAATAAATTACCGTAATTCATTAAGTTTTTGTGTTTTAATTTCATCAAGACGAATTCTACGTAATCTTGCTTGTTCATCAAGTCGAACACCTTCATCAAAAAATGCAGCACGTTCTTCAACTTTTTGTTTTTCATGACGAACAATTTGTTCACGTAAATCATCAGCAAATCTATGACGTTTTGACATACGTTGTAATTCTTCATTTCGTTCTTTTTCAGCTTGTGTTAATTGTGCTCTAAAATTTAATTAATTCAAAAAAAAAACAAATGATTTTTTAATTTAACTTTTTTTTTTTTTGGTTTTAAAATTTACTTAAGTACACGTTCAAATTCTGCTCGTTCACGAGCAGCTTCAACAGCTAAATGTTGTTCTTTATTTTTAATTTGCCATTCTCGTGCTAAACGCATTTCTTCTTCAGTTTGTTTCTTTTTTATTGTTTCAAGTTTTTCTTTTTCTCTCCATTCTCGTTCACGTCTTTCTTGTTCACGTTTAGCTCTTAAAGCATCTTTATCTGCTTGAATATCTCTTGCACGTTCTTGTTGGGCACGTAAACGTGCAACTTCTTTTTCTTTTTCTGTACGTTTACGTTCAATTTCAGCTTCTTGTGCAGCTTCACGTGCTGCTTTTGCTTTTTGAAATTCAAGTACAGCTAAATCAGCTATACGATCTTGTTGTTTACGTACAGCACGTTGTTCATCAATGTCACGATTAGCTTTCAAAAGATCTTGCTATGATAACAAAATCAAAGAACAAAAAAAAATTTTAATATTTATCAATCAAAAAATTTACCGCTAATTTTTTTTGTGAGTCTTTTCGTTTTGAAAAATCTTCCCAATCTTTTTCTTGTAATTTTTGCATATAATCAAACATAGCAGCATTTTCTTGTTCACGAACTTCTTCTTTATAAACTTTTTCTTTTTCATTTTCTTCAATTTGTTTTAATATCATACCTGCACCTCTGATAATAATAGAATATTTAGTAATCATATCAACAACAACAAAAATAAAATACATCGAAAAGCTTACTAGAACTTCACAAGACAAAATAAACAGAGTTCAATACTGATGACTGTCATAATTTATTTATTTTTTTTGTATTTAATCCAATTTAGTCTGATCAAGTATCTGTAACTAACTCGATTAGAAATGGACAATATCAATATTATTTTGAGGGATTTTTGGAATTTTTTTTTTAAGGATATATTATATTCATTTAAAATTTTCTACGAATAATTTTTGCTAGTATATAACATATAATAACTCTCCTGAAAGAAAATCATAGCTCTAATGAATTATTTTTTTCATTCTTCATCAGATTTCTACTCATCATCTCGTTCTCATAGTGATACGTTTTGTTTGAGACTGAATGAAAATCAAAATCCTCCCAAAAAAAAAAAAAATTCAAAAGTATTTTAATATGAAAAATTTGTTTTATTATATTAAATTGTTCTTACTCTTTAGCTTGTAAATGTCGTCGTCGTTCGATTTCTTCTTGTATTTTAAGTGCATTAAGACGTTCAATTTCCATCATCATATCTAATCGTTTATCTTCTTCAGCCATTTCTTTTTTAATTTGATGTTTTTCTAAAATTTGTGCATCACGTATAGCATGACATTTTGCATTAAGAATTAACTAGACATGAAAAAAAAAGAAACATTTTATTATTATTTATAAAAAGCAAAAAAAAAACAAAAGTTGAATACTAAAACATACTTCATTAAGATGTTTAACTTCATCTTCTTGTTCTTGTCGAAGTTCATTAGCTCGTTTTAACATATATTCAGCTTCTTCTTTTGCTTCTAAATCAATATCTTCTAGAGGAGCATTTTTTTTACGTTGTTGATCATATTCTTGCATTGCTTTTTTACGACGATTAAGTTCTTCCTATTAAAGAAAAAAAAAACAAAAAATTTAATTTTAGAAAAGTAAAAAAAAAAGAGATTAAAAATGAACATACTTCAACTGAATCTCTATTTTGTTTTGATTCTGCAATTTCATTTTCACGTATTTCTTTCGGTCTTAAATGAGCTGCATGAGATAAACGTTGATATGTAGCACCATCAATAATAACTGATGTACATGTTGGATCTTCCGGAACACTATAATCAAAAAAAAAAAGAAAAGCCAATAGATATAATTTATTTTTGTTATTATATTTATAAATTTACATAATATCTCGAATAAGATCTTTTGTAATATGCCTAATAAATTCTTTTTTAACCGTTCCCGTATGTTTTGGTGCATTATGTATTGTTTTTTCTTGATAATCTTGATTTTGTTGACGTTCAGCTCTCATTTTAGCAGCTGTTGCTAAACGATGTGGTGTACCAAATAAAGTTTCATCAACTTCTGATTGTGCATTAACAGTACGATATCGATAATTATTTCCATTACGTTTTCCATTTGATGATGATGAACCATTACCACTATGTGAACCACCTGATGTTGATGCTGGTGACATTTCCTTTTTTCTAAAATATAACAAAAAAAACAATTTTTTTTGCTCTAGTGAAAAATGTTTGATTCTCCAATTGCCATGAACCATTTTTCGTATCCATAGTAACACCTCTATTTATTCATCAACTCAAATATTCTTTTAAGATATTAAAAAAACAAAGAATATTTTTATTTAAATCAAAATAAAAAATATAATTTATAAAAATAAATTTCTAAACAAAAAGAAAAAAAAAAAGTGATAATAATAATGAAATGAGTCATTATGAATAGCTTCGAGTTTTCTTTCTTATTTAATATAGATTTTCGTTCTATTGTCGTCTGTCTATAGTCAGATTATTTCTGAAAAATCAAAAGAAAAAAAAAAGTAAACAATGCCAATCAATGCATTTCAACGTATATTTGATTTTGGTTCAAAAAAAGATGATACAAAAAATGTAACATCATCAGATGCTATTAAACGTTTATCTGATGTTGAAGAAATGCTCAATAAAAAACAACAACATTTAGAATCACAAATTGAAGAAGAAAAAACAAATGCAATACGTTATTCAAAACAAGGAAATAAACGTGGAGCAATAATGGCTTTAAAACGAAAGAAAAAATTTGAAAAAACATTACTACAATTAGATGGAACATTAACAACATTAGAAACTCAACGAGAATATTTACAAAATGCATCAACTAATATGGATGTTTTACATGTTATGAGACAAGCAGCAAGTGCTTTAAAAAAAACAAATCAAAATTTAGATGTTGATCAAGTACATGATTTAATGGATGATTTAGCTGAACAACATACTGTTGGTAGGATTTTTAGTTTTTTCTTTTGTAATATTTATTTTAGTGACGTATCCAGGATTTTTCAGTATGCTGAATCTCAATTTCCGGACACGGGACCCAGATGAAACTGATGGAGGGTGATGTTGGATCCAAATAATGGAATTTTATCAAAAAAAATTTACACTCGGAGTTTGCGAAAAAAATTAGCATTTTCCTGATCCCC